GCCACCTTAGGTGTATGTGGCTGGCGCCTTAGCCACTTGAGCCACAGGCACCGAGCCAATATATGGACATTTCCAATGAGCAATTTACTTCCTATTTTTAACCTTTGTAAAGGATTTTCTTAAAAATAGTCAGCATTGTTTTTGCATTCATTCTTTCTGTGGATCTATACAATAATAAAATATTATTCATTCAACCCCAGGCCCTACAAAATCTTTAAGAAAACTTTTTTTATTTGTAACTTTCACTTAAGAAAATAAATACCATGTTTGAAAACTTTTAAATGTCTATAGCATTATAATCATATACATTTAGTGGCCTCAATTCTGTTATCTTAAATATTTCAAAGTCCACTTAAATCAAAAAAAGGTAAGAAGGTAATAATAATTCTAAACTAAATTTAGAAGTTCAACTATTACATAAAATACTCTTGGAGAAACTGATTTAAATATCTCATTTCAGAGAGATAAAATACAAAGATGCCATTGATGTATTACAGAACATTTACTTACTCCCATATTCAACTTCAGATTCTTCTACACCAATTTGCCTGGTGGCTACATTAATTTCATCCAGTGGTTGAGGCGTTTCCCTAGTGTCAGATGCTCCAATTATATCCCCAATGGTTGTTTCTAACACTTCTAGGCTATCTAGCAAATCAATATTCACAGGCAAGCTGTAAAGGTAATAGAAAACTTATTTAGACCAAGGAATTTGTCATTAAAAAAACCTCATATTATACTTTGTCCTCTGTATCCATAGATTCTGTATCCATAGATTCTGCATCCATGTATTCAACTGACTGCAGATTAAAAATACACAAAACAAGAAGTGTAAATAATACAATGACAAAAATTACAAATAAAAAATAGTTTTACAGCCATATAGTAGTTTAAGTACTCTAGTGATGACTGATAGTATAAAGGAGAAAGTGTGTAAGTTATAGCCAAAAACTACATGATTTCATATAAGGGGCTTAAGCATCCAAGGAATTTGGTATCCAAGGAGAGTCCTGGAATCAACTTCCCATGGATACTGAGGGACAACTATACTAACAAAAATCTTTGCTGGAAAAACGTTTCATGGACGAGTTTGTATCTCAACTGGTTTTATTCATCTATTAAAGTCTTTTGGGTAGACTTCTCCTCCAAGCCAAAAAACAATAAACAGCAGAATATAAAGTCAGACAATTAAGTTCATGAACTCATCCTAGACAAAGCTTTTTTTTTGAGACAGAGTCTTACTTTGTTACCCTCAGTAGAGTGTCATGGGGTCATAGCTCACAGCAACCTCAAACTCTTGGGCTCAAGCAGTCCTCTTGCCTCGGCTTCCCAAGTAGCTGGGACTACAAACGCCCGCTACAATGCCCACTAATTTTTTTGTTTTAGAAACAAGAGTCTCTCTCTTGCTCAGGCTGGTCTCAAACTTGTGAGATCAAGCAATCTACCCACCTCAGCCTCCTAAAATGCTGGGATTACAGGCATGAGCCACCATGCCCAGCCAAGAAAAACTCTTTGAAGGGTAGACTAAACACTGGCATCGATGCATAGCTTCCTAGGGGGAATACTTCAAAAGTGACTGCAGTGATATTCAGCAATGAGGTATGCAGCACTTTTTCTAGGGTGAGTTCCTGAACTTAACTGTCTGATCTCGTACGTGTTCTCAAGCACACACAGAATAATCACTAAGAAAGATCTTATTCTTGTCTATAAAACAAGTCTGTATAAATTCAAAAGAATTCAGGCCATATAAAATATGTACTTTGATCGTAACAGAATTAAATTAGAACTTAAAAATAATAAAGATCAAAAGGAAAAAATAGAGAAAAATCAATTAAACCAACAGCTAGTTTTCTGATAAACTCAAAAATAACTGATAATTTCAAGTTGGGCTAATCAGGAAAATAAAAAAATTTGTATATACTAGTAACAAGAATGAGAAGGGTGACATCACTATTGATCTTACAGGTATGTATTAAAATCATCTAAGGGAATATCACAAACTTCATGCCAAAAAATTTAACAACTTAGATGATATGGATAATTCTTTGAAAGACATCAACTGCTACACATCATTCCAGAAGAAACAGAAAACTGAACAGATACATAAATTGAAATAATAATTTAAAATTTTCCCAAGGAAAAGATTAGGTCCAGATGATTTCCCTTGTAAATTCTATCAAATGTTTAAAAGAAGAAATAATGCCTGGCCAGGTATGGTGGCTCATGCTTGTATTCCTAGCACTTGGAGAGGCCAAGTTGGGAGAACTGCTTTAGGCCACGTATTCAAGATCAGCCTGAGAGGGCTGGGAGCGGTGGCTCATGCCTATATTCCTAGCATAGGAGTTGAAGATCAGCCTGAGCAATAGCAAGACTCTGGTTCAGGGGTCCTTAAACTTTTTAAACAGGAGGCCAGTTCACTGTCCCTCAGACCGTTGGAGGGTCGGACTGCGGGCCCTGGGACAAGTTGGGTGCTAAGCAGGACAGGCAGGGGTGGCAAAAACACCCGGTGGGCCAGATAAATGTCCTAGGTGGGCCATAGTTTGAGGACACCTACTCTGGTCTCTAAGAAATAGCCAGGTGTTGTGGCGCCTGTAGTCCCAGCTACTTGGGAGGCTGAATTAAGAGGATACTTGAGCCTAAGAGTTTAATGTGGCTGTGAGTTCTGACTCCATAGCACTCTACCAAGGGCAATAAAGTGAGACTCTGCCTCAAAAAAAAAAAAAAAATATGCTGGCTAATGCAGAAAGATTTCCAAACACATGAAACACTGCATAAAGCTTTATGCCACCTGGAAGTCACAGCAAGCCAGTTCCAAGCATAGAAAAAAAAAAAATGCCACATGAAGCATATGACAAACCATTTCAATCTGGTATTAAAGCTAAGAGACACGGCATCTAAGACCTGTGAACTCAGTCCTTGCTTCTTGCTTTCCTGGCCGGTAAGGACTTCCTCAACACCAGCCAGGAAACCCAGAATTTGAACCCTTTATGGCTAATTTTTGTCAAAACAAATCAATGGGATGGCCAGGTATGGTGGTTCATGCCTGTAATTCTAGCACTCTGGGAGGCTAAGGCACATGGATTGTTTGAGCTCAGGAGTTCAAGACCAGCCTGAGCACAAGTGAGACCCCATTTCTAACAAAAAACTAGCCAGGTATTGTGGCAGACACCTGTAGTCCCAGCTACTTGGGAGGCTGAGGCAAGAGGATCACTTGAGCCCAAGAGTTAGAGGTTGCTGTGCGTTATGATGCCACAGTATTATGCAGGGTGACAAAATGAGACTCTGCTCAAAAAAAAGAATCAATCAATCAACAAGAGATAGTTTTCTCAATAAATGGTGCCAGGAAAACCAGATATACACATGTAAAAATATAAATGTAGACCCTACCTCACACTATACACAAAAATGAAATCAAAATGGATAAGAGACCTAAATGTTTAGGGCTAAAACTATAAAACTTAGGACAAAATATAGAGGAAAATAAATATTGGTGACTTTGGGTTGAGTAAAGTATTCTTAGCTATACATCAAAGGTACAGGTCATAAAGTTGCCAACACTTTATCACAAAAATGTTTTGAGCTTCTA